ATTATTTTTTAGAATATCTTAGGCCCTCACAGAGGGCCTAGAGGGCCCTGACGGCTCGCCACTGCTTAACAGGTTAAATAAGATTTCAAGGAGGTAAAATAGTTATGATAATAAGCATTTAAAGTCAAATGGATGAGGAAGATAACCCACTCACTAAAAGGAAGATGACAAAAATAAATACAATAAAATATGAAATACTATAAAATAAATAAACAAACCGTGTCGCTAGGGTTGGGAACCGATACTCGGTTCCAGATGAGAACCGATAAGAAAATGCCGGGTACCCATACAAAATACACAATTTCGGTTCTGCTTAACGGTTCCGAAAACCCTGTATTCCACCGGGTCCGTCTGCACCGCGGTGACCCGGTGGAATACAGCCAGGGTAAGGGAGGACTGGCCATCTGTGTGTTCTGGAGAATCACAGAACGGCCGGTCGTCAGCGGGCCGTTGGTGGCCGGCTCGGTACGCTGACAGCCGGCACCGCCCTTCATTTTTTTAAACGGCATCATGTAAATTACGGCGACAGAGGTCCACAGTTGCCCCGCAGCGAGGCTCCCCCCGCCCTCCCGTGGACAGTTCACGAGCTCAGTCACTTCATAACACCAAAGATGGATCGCGGTAAACGCTCTGAAGTGAGGCTCCACTGCACTAAAAATGAAAAAGACAAGGCAGTGTAATGCCTGTCAATAGCTTGCCACAGGCATGGCTCAGTTAAAATAAAGCACAGCTATTGTGCAATACATTTGTATTGCATGCAGGCCTATATTTTTTATTTGTAAAAATGTCAGTTAAAGCTTAAAAGAATAAAGATATTTTTGTTATCTAAACATTTGACCTCTTTCTTTTACAATTTTGGAATAGAAACGGGGAATCGATAAGAATCGGAATCGATAAGCAGAACCGGAATCGGTAAATTTAAAACGATTCCCATCTCTACGTGTCGCTGATGCCAACACACCCTAATTCACACTATTTTGTTTTGTTTTACAATAAGATCCTACTTTTGTATTCAGTTATGGAAACAGCAGCAGTCTATTTGCTGAGGTGCCACCAAACGGTTTAACATGTAAAATGTGTCGTATAAACAACAACCGCACATGATGAGGCAGACATGGACATCCATGCTTTAAAAACTACTTAACTTAATGCAACTTAGTCTCAGGATTGTGTTCAATATGAAGCGTGATGTAATGGTTTGTTTTAATAAAGATTTTTGTGAGAAAAAGCCGATCATCACCTCGAGACTTTGACTTTGGACTATCTCTAAATCGATTCAGTAAAACTTAAACACTTAAAATAATGTACAGTAAACACTATAAACTCATCAGTTTTCTTTTTTAAAACACATCCTTCAAATAGTTCTCCGGGGTAAAAAATGAAACATGACAAATATGCTGCCAGCTGCTCCTTTTCCACATGAAATCAAATTAGATGACATTGATTTACTTTGTCGATTGAGTTCAAGTTATTTAGAACATATGTTGCCTATGCCACTGTTAACACACCGTTAACAGTGGCATAGGCAACAAAGATAAAAAATAGTGACAGGAATATTATGCAATCCATTGCATGACACAATGTACCTTTCACCTGCTTTAAAAAAAAAAATGTGAGGAGCTGCCATAGGCTTATCGCCATGATATTTCTATTGTGTTGTTTTAATAGTGTCTTGTGACATTTGCTTTTGAGAGAGAATTGTGTTGATAATCAAGATTCCTTTGGTCCCTTTGTTTCCTTAACTTGTGCAACTTGACATCTGCTTTCTTTCACAACCATAAACACAACTCACACAGCTGTGTTCAATTATTTTTGCTTTACACTGAATCTGGGAATACGTGAGGTTACTGTAATCTGATCATAAAAATGGGAACATGTTAAATACTGTAGATGCACACGTTAGCGATGGTCTCTTTATTTCTTCTATTATGCTTTACACCACACCGCTCCTCCGCTGCCTTAACTGGCTTCCGGTAACTGCTAGAATCCACTTCAAGACACTGGTACTTGCGTACCATGCTGCGAATGGATCTGGCCCTTCCTACATCCAGGACATGGTTAAACTGTACACCCCAACGCGTGCACTACGCTCTGCATCAGCCAAACGGCTCGCTGCACCCTCGCTGCGAGGGGGACCCAAGTTCCCATCAGCAAAAACACGTGGGTTTGCTATCCTGGCTCCAAGATGGTGGAATGAGCTCCCCATTGACATCAGGACGGCAGATAGCTTACACACCTTCCGGCTCGGACTGAAAACTCATCTCTTTCGACTCCACTTCGAGCGATAGAATTATTAACAAAGCACTTATATACTAATAAAGGGCTGGCTTATCTAAAGCCAGTTGAGTAGCACTTGAAATGTTTTTGCTCTATGAAACCTGATGTACTTATATGATTCTGTTTTCTTCAAGTTTGTATTTTGTTGGTCGAACGCACTTATTGTAAGTCGCTTTGGATAAAAGTGTCAGCTAAATGCAATGTAATGTAATTTTCCTTTGAGTTTATTCCCCAATTCAAAAAGGTATTGAATTGGAAGAATAAAGCTCTCAAACATAACAAGCTTTCTTATAGTCAGGTAGAGAACTTGTTAGCTTAGTTTGACGCTACCCATACAATAGGTTCACACGGTTTGTTCAGGACATTTTTGTAGCATTGTTCCATGTGTCAGAACTGTCTGTACACCATTGCTCTGAACATATGACATAAGACAGCAAAGAGGATGCCAAAGATTCCTCTATTAGTCATCTCATGCTCTCTCTACCCTTGGAAACGGTGATCAGATATACGTTGTTATTGTTGTACACAATGTTCTTTTCTTTTCTAACCTCGCCCATTGACGTATATGAATTCCTTCAAATCATTGTAATCGTATATGAAAAAAAACAGTTGCTTTAATATACCAATGCGGCCGTAACCAAGAATAGTGTTATTGCAAAATGTATATTTGAAAAAAATCAAGATTGACACTATTAAAACAGCTTACTATAAGTTCACATTTGCACTGAATGATTTAACCCCGCCCTAACAAGAGCAACAACATGAAAAAACTTGTCACTTACACACATAGTGCTCAGAAGAGCTTTTATCACCTATTCAATTCAATTAAATTCAAAACCTTTATTTATACAGATAAAACCCATTGAGATCATAGACCTCTTTTACAATGGTGACCTGCTTCAATTAGTTCCAAACATTAATACAAACATGACAGAAAACAAAGGACATTATATGATACTACAGTTTGTATACTAGTAGCATTTACAGACACCAATATTTTCTGATTGTATAGCGTCTATCCTAGCTTTAAAAACATGAAATGGAATCAAACTGCTTAGCTTCCATTCCTTTTGTAGACTGTTCCATGCTAGCGGCGCTGCGCATCTAAAAGCTGTATTTCCTAATACAGTCCTAGCAGTTGGCGCATGTAATACAACCACAGCTTTAGATCTCAGGCAGTAGCCATTTACAATACGCTGTGAGATCAGGGAACAGATGTAAGACGGAAGTTTCCCTAACATTGCTTTATAAATAAAAAGATACCAGTGATTTAGCCGCCGTACAGTAAGTGAAAGCAACCCTGCCCTTGTATACAGGGTACAATGATGAGTCAAAGTCTTACAGTCTGTCACAAACCTTAGTGCACTGTTACAAAAGAAGACACCTATAGGCAGCTTTACAAACACTTTAAATCTACTAAACTTGGGTTATTGAACAGTGACGCTCAATGGAGCTCGGAAAGTGTGACACAAAAGACAATACGTTTATAAAAACACTGAACTTTCTCATGGAGAGAACTATTGAAGGGTTTTCATGATAATGTTAAATAATGTTATATATATATACGATTGATTGATCTATTTTTAAGTAAAGGGCAGGTAAAATAAGACTTTCTCCCTGTTCCTTTCCATCAGGGGCTGTACGATCTGCTCAAAGTGTCCATGTCATGTGAATTATTTAAAACAAGTTCAATGAGTTTTTTTATTTTTAACGTTGGCACACTCCACACACAACGAGCCCTGCACTTTACCAGGAAGAAACAATTGGTTCCTGTTTGGTAGAATGTGTAACTGTCAATCATGCAGCAAGTAAGCAGTTATTGAGAATTGAGAGATATAACTAAAAAAAAAATCGAAAAACATTAAAAAAAACATTGTATCACTTAAAGGTAGGTAATGGAGAAACCAGCTGGAGTGCGCTAGAATTTGAAAGTACACAACCAGAAGAAATGTGCCCCTTCCTTACAGAGCCCCTCGGGGCGGGGTTAAATCATGATAGGTCCCCTTTAAAATACTCATTATGCTTAATTGCACATTAAAACACCATTTATTTTTAAATGTTTGTATTATGATAATTTATGCATCTTTTACTTCAATGTTAAACTTGGGTATGGTTTATTTGAATGACTTTATATACAACTGGGTAGCTTAAAGTATCATATTATAATGTAGGTGTGAATGATAATGTATTGGTTGACTTAATTGTTATTAATAACCTACATTTTCAAAGCAACTAGTAACTAAATATGTACAATACTTTTAGTGGAGTAATAGTACAGCGTTTGACTACAGAATTTAGTGGAGTAAAAGTATGTCGTAGCAGCATAATGTAAAAATACTAAGTTATAGTAAAAGCACCTCAATTGTACAGTACTTGAGAACATGTATTTGGTTACTATACACAACTAGTGAAGTAGTATAAAAGTAGTTCAAAGAGCTTTACAGTTCAAAATTATTTGTGATACGGGATGATTGAATTAATACTCAGACATTAAAAGGCATTGCGTCAGAACAATTTAACGCAAAATGAATGAAATGAATGTGAACGATTGCATTTTACAAAACACTGGGAGATACATGCCTGCTGCAAACACAACATCATCAGAAAAAAACAGTTGACTTGGGGATTTTTCACATGCATACCTTCTAAGAATATGTGTTAAGGTATGAAGGGGGTTGTTGTTATGAGAAGGAACTAAAGATTCTGGTGAAAAACGTACTGTCGTCAAAGGTTGTGGGCGGAGCTAGGTATGAGGTGTGGAGTATTTAATTGTCAGGACAGAGGGAAGAAGGCACAGTGAAAATGGCTCTTCACCAACTTCTGTGTGGTTCAGCTGTGATGATCATCCTCTTATCCAATGGTGAGAAAGATCATGTGATTTATCTTTACAATTTTACAAATGTTTGGTTGTTAAAAGGATAAAAGGCTAATTTGCTTAAAGTGCTTGTAATCAGTTGCAATCCGTTCTGCTTTGATTACAACTATATTGATTGGATCCAGTATTTGATATTTCTTTATTTAAAACTATGATGAATTAACATGGACAGCAACAGTATTGGTACTGTTATTAAGGTAATTCCTTATTGTTTTATCTGCTGGAGAAACGATGCAGAACTAGAATATGTCAGGGCGGGTTAACCCATCAATGTTAACGGACCATCATTTATCATGATAACCCTTATCAACATTGTGGTATTAAAATCCTTTCCTAAAAGCACAACAAGAAGCTTAAAACATGGTGTCTCCCTGCACTGAAAGAAACCATTTCTTAGCAATTTAGTTGGAAAAAAACCCAAAAATAATCGCATTTGTTCATGTTTAAGCTAATTTTTTGTTGCCGTATTTTCACGTTTTATTTTCTTTGCACTGAGAGTTCTATTGTGTTTCCGTGTGTTTAGTTATTTTGTGAGATTGCTTAGAAGAAATGTGTTATTTGACAAGGCAAGGCGTGCTGAAGTTCATCCATCTAATGTCCAAAGTAAAGCATTATCAATGAGTCCATCAGGATTTTGGGTTTGTCTAGGCTGCAGATTCTGTGACACGATAAGGCAGACTCCATTGGAAATATGTGGAATATCGACTTTAAAGTGAATTGAAAGGAAATGAAGTGGCAAGCCACAGTCAAACTATCATAGAGTATATCCTGTGTGGATCTATGGAGTGCATCTACTCAAATACTTAAGTACAACATCAAAGTACTTATCATTTCAAGCCACTTTATAGTTCAATTCCACTACAAGTCTAAGAGAACTGTTACACCGTTTTGTATTGTACTTTAAAGTTTAGTTACTTTACAAAATAACATTTGTGAACAAAAAATCCCAAGAGTCTATAAAATATTATTACTAGCAAACAGTATGTACAAGTAAATCAAATCAATCAATTATTTGGTTTGTTTCTTTGATTTTAGATTGGGTTAGTACATTCTTCTGACTATACTTTATATCCTTATGTCCTAATAAAATGTTCAATACAGGAACTTTGCTTGTAGTATTTTCACAGTGTGGTATTAGTAAGTTTACTTAACTAAAAGATAGATACATTGTTCCACCACTAAATGCTTGTCATCCTTTGTTTCAACCAAGACGTTTGCATAACATTTTTCTTTCTGTGTTCTCAATTTCAGGATGTCATTCACAACAGCAGCCAGGTAAGCGTCCAAGAGCAACATTACAAGTTTATTTATGAAAATGACTGGTTGTACATATCCATATCCATGTCTAATCTGTTCTCTTTTCTCTGTCAGCATGTGGCCGGGCACCAAACAACCCCAGAATTGTGGGAGGTCAAGATGCAGCTGCAGGAACTTGGCCCTGGATAGCCAGTTTACAAATTGATGAGGATCACAGTTGTGGAGGGTCCCTGATCAGCAATATGTGGGTTCTGACTGCTGCTCACTGCATCCCAGGGTAAGGAATCAAGTTTTCTCTTAGAAATATTACAGGAATTGTTTCTATTTTGTTTGCAAAAGTTAAATAATAAACCTAAATGTACTATTTTGTCTTAAGGTATCTCACAAACATGACTGTTGTTCTGGGCCGCGAAAGCATGAAAGGTCAAAACTTGAACGAAGTGTCAAGGGCAGTTGATAAGATCATAACCCATCCTGCTTACGATGCATTGAGCAAAGACAACGACATGGCTCTTCTGAAGCTGTCGAGACCCGTAAACTTTACCGACTACATCCAGCCGGTGTGCTTGGCCTCTGCAAACAGCACCTTCTACACCGGTGTGACAACAACTGGGTCGTTGGTTTTGGTACTACATCAAGTGGTAAGCTCACTGACTCCACACTTGATCACACATTGATGGGTACATATGTCTGTTGTCTTTTTAAACACCAATTTCTCTCTGATTAGGTGGCCCCAATGCCGACACCCTGCAGGAAGTGAGGGTCCCAATCGTGGGAAACAATGAGTGCACATGTGCCTAACCCAAATCTCACAGACAACATGATCTGTGCTGGGTTAAGAGCTGGAGGGAATGATTCATGTCAGGTAACCAACTTTTTGTGTATTTACTTTTTGACACTTTCTTCAGAAATTTATTTTACAGGAGCACGAAAATGTGCAAAAAGACGCAGTGGGAATATTGAATTGAATTCAGTAGTAGGGTGGCTGATTGGTTTCAATATAATCTCAATACACATCCCAGAAATCTATAAGATTATATAAATGAGCTATCGGTCATGCTAATTACAAGCTTCTCTTTGACTACCCAAAATTAAAATTTGTATTATGTGTGTGTTACCTTAATGTAGTTTTCAAAGTTTGTCCCAGTTGCAAGAATTGTTGACTTACCCTAAAGTTTTAAGTAACATAACGTAACATCCAGTCTTTGTGCTAAGCTAGGCTCAACACATAGATACATCCACCAAATAAACACAGAGTTGAAGCCAAATGAAGTTCTCATGACTTTGATTAAGACAGAAGGAAATAAGCAAGCCTTCCACTGCATTGATTAAAAGTATGTCCAGTAAATGTATTTTAAAGGAAGTCAGGCTGTATCAAACAACAAGCTTTATCAAATCTCAAATTCTTGGTAAAATCATTGAAACGGTTGTTTTCCAACAGCCGAGTCATTTCTTGAATCTAAATAACTGTTTTGATGTGTTCCAGTCAGGCTTTCAACCAACCACAGCACTGAGACTGCTCTTGTAAAGGTCTTCAATGACATCCACTTAAACACAGACAGTGGCAGAACTTCAGTGTTAGTATTATTAGATCTCAGTGCTGCGTTTGACACTGTTGACCACAACATATTACTTGACCTACAATAAAACTGGGTGGGACTTTCGGCAACAGTTCTACACTGGTTTGAATCCTACTTAAGGGACAGGAACAATTGTGTTTCTATAGGTAAATTCACATCTGAAAAAAATACATTTCAGACCTCCTGCTAAATTATGAACCATCCAGAACTCTCAAGTCTTCTGGTCAGCTTTCTGTCCCCAGAGTCAGAACTAAACATGGAGACGTTCAGTTATTATGCTCCAAATATCTGGAACAAACTACCAGAAACCTGCAGGTCCGCTGCAACTCTTATTACTTTTAAATCCAGGCTGAAGACTTTCCTTTTTTCCGCTGCTTTTAATTGATATATTCCGCTGCACTGTAACTTTTATTCATGTACCTTTGTTATTCTTGTTTTATTATCTTTGCTTTTAAATTAGTGTTTTTAAATGCCAATGTATAATAAGTTTCTTAATGCTCTTAATTTCTTTCATTTTTGTAAAGCACGTTGAATTGCATTGTGTTGAAATGTGCTATATAAATAAACTTGCCTTGCCATGCTTTAGCAGGGTGGATGCTTCTATCATATAACGTCAACCATCAATTTCTTTCTACAGGGAGACTCAGGTGGACCAATGATGATCAAAACTGGTTCAGTCTGGGTCCAGAGTGGTGTTGTGAGTTTTGGAGAAGAATGCGCCTTGCCAGATTATCCAGGAGTTTACGCCCGTGTGTCCAACTACGAAGACTGGATCAAAAATCACACTGGCTCTAGCCAACCAGGCTTTGTTGACTCCATGTCCTCAGGAGTTGACACCGACTTAACCTTTGACTGTTCTGAAATAACCACAAACACCGAACCCCCCAAACCTTATCCCACCACCCATCACCCCTATCCCACCACCCATCACCCCTATCCCACCACCCATCACCCCCATACCACCGATGACGGCAGTGTGTTTGGCAGTGGTGAGAGAGTGATCTCCTCACTCGGTCTTCTCCTTATGTCTCTCTATGCGCTGGTCGGAGGCATATAAACATGGAGATGTTGAAGTAAGACAAGTTTAGGGTTTCTGTGCCCAAATGGCTCATTCACTTGATTTGATATGAGCCCTAATTGTTCGAAAATAGAACATATGATTTAAGATATATAACTGAAATGTTTTAATTAGCGATAACCCTTCTTGTGATTTAAAATAATATAATAATTTAAATGTGATCATTTGTTCCTTTAATCAAAGTGTTAAACTTATCTTGATTCCATTTCTGGTGGAAAGTCAATCGTTTTGCAGATGACTGGATTAAGTTTTCAACGATTTTGCATTGTCTTGTAAAGATTGTTTTTCCAGACATGACGGGATAAAAACTAAAATAAAGAATTATCTTTTGTGTAATAAAATGGTTTCCTTTTTGGGTCAGCAGGCCTATGAATAAGGTGACTAGTTTGGGTTGATGAGAGCCTTGAGAATGAACCAAAACAGTAAAGTTTGGGATACCAAAACAGTGCGCTGAAAGACACTAAAACTCTAGTGCTAACTCTTATAGGTTCATTCCTGTATTGTATTATGTGTGTGTTTATTGTAGTTTTGGTCTAGTTATGTTCAAATGACCTTAATGTAGTTTTCAAAGTTGCAATAATTGTTGACTTAACTTAAAGTAACATAACGTAATTTACAAACGTTGTGTTAAACTGGGCTGAACACATAGATACATCCACCAGATTAACCTAACCCTACCTAATCTAAAGTTTAAAGGTGGGGTAGGTAATTTTTGAGAAACCAGCTCGAGTGCGCTAGAATTTGAAAATACACAGCCGGAAAAAATCTGCCACTTCCTTACAGAGCCCCTCCTCCAACACACACGAACGCGCACATGACCAATGAGGGCACGAGTTAAGTTTGTGCCCAGATGGAAGGCTGACAGGCAGGTAGGCCATCCAGTTACTTTAGCCGAGCCGGCTCAGATGATTGGTCGTGCTTTTTACAGCGCTACGGCTTCCACTGATGATAGTTTTTAATGGATTTGTTGTCAAAGCACTTCAGATATTCATTGCTATCGGATGTTAAGAGCATTCCATGGAATATAATAACAAGTGTATCTCGAGCCGGTTTCTCAAACTTACCTACCCCTCCTTTAAGTAACATAACTGCCAGACTTTGTGCTAAGCTAGGCTGAACACATACATCCAACAAATTAACGTAACCCTGACCGAACATCACCTTAAGGTTAAGTCACATAATGTAACTTCAAGACTTTGTGCTAAGCTAGGCTAAACACATAGATACATCCACCAAATTAACCTAACCCGACCTCATCTAAAGATTAAGTAACATAACTTCCAAACTTTGTGCTAAACTAGGCTGAACACATACATCCACCAAATGGGTACATAGATGTCATTAGACCAATTAAAAAAAACAAAAAAAAAACTACTGTGGCTCAAAACTAATATCTACCAAGAGCTCCGGAATAAGATAAGATGGACCTTTATTGATCAACCAAAGGGATATTATAACATTATAAAAAAACATAAAGTCCTTTGTACAAGATGAACTCCACTCATAAGTCGACTGTTCAAACCTGAAAAACTGGAAGCTGTTATTTTTCTGCTCTGTCATTCTCCATAGCGCTCATCAGATAGGATTACTCATGGTAGCACACCCACATATATTTATGTTATCCTGGCAAGGAAGTAAAACTCTCCCCTGGCCTGCAGTATCAATGGTGTGAAAAATAGCATGCACTGAGTCTAAGTGTGTGTGAGCACTCATTCGGTGTGTGTTATGTGTGAATCTGGCCTTTGTGTACATCACAGTGCCTTTAAATGCCTTTCAAGGTTCACAAACTTCCGATGATGAAATGAAAACCTAACTGGGCCAAATGTACGTTATTCTTTCATTCCCTTTTTACTCTCTAAACGTTAATTTTCAAATATTCACACAGGAATGCGACTCCTATCCCCAGCAGACCGCCGTGCATCGTTTGTGAAAAACCTGCAATATGTTCTGCGTCGCTAATCGGAAAACTAACTAGCAAGCAGCCCGGAGCAACAGTCTCATTGTTATTCCGTGGATGGGATTACTTTATTCTCAGTGGTGTAAATTGTAAATCGAGAGAGCTTTCTATTGGTTTAGAATAGAATCACCAATGTTGCACTTGATGCAGAAGATTCTCACTGAATTGAAACTCCTAACAGGCACAAAAAAAGGAATTTGTCGATTAACCACAGTCATTAAACGCATGGACGTAGTGCTGAGAAGAGGTCTCATCAGCCATTACAAAGGAAAACACCTATAGGCAGCTTGACAAACATTACGCAACACTTTTTATCTACTAAACTTGGGTTATTGAACAGTGACGTCCAATAGAGCAAAAGACAGAAGAAAACAAAGGTCACTTTTCTTTTTTTAATGTAATGTATGACTGAACTTTGTTATGGTGAGAATTATAGTTGTTTTCATGTTAGACTAAAAGGAATCGTTAAAGTTAAAACAAAAAAGAAATGAATGTAAACTATTTCATTTATATCTGAATGAACTTTTATTTGAGATACCTCTGCAACACTGGGAGCTTCATGCATGCAGATGAGATACCTCATTCATCATGCATGCTGCAGACACAAAGGCATCAAGAAAAACAAGTTTGACTTGGGGATTTTTTTCACATGTTCCCGTTAATAGCTTCTTAAAATATGTGTTGACTTGTGTGTGATCGGTTGTCACGTTTAGAAATTAAAAAATGCAGATGAAAGCTACGGTATAAAGTTGTGGGCGAAGCTAGGTATGAAGTATTAAATAGTGATCACAGAGGGAAGAAGGCACAGTGAAAATGGCTCTCTACCAATTTCTGTGTGGTTCAGCGGTGATGATCATCCTCTTATCCAATGGTGAGAACGTTCATGTGATTTTTCTTTAAGCAATTACAAATGTTTGGTTGTTAAATGATATTATGCTAATGTATTGAGTTGATGTTGGTATCTCAAGGGACCAAAATAGTAGAGATTGTGTAGCTGATCTCTAAATCTTCCTTCAAATTAAAGAGTAAATATTTCATCTACTAATAACTGGGAAATTACTGATTTTATTATGTGATCAAAAGGAGTTCAAGTGCATGTGAAGGACAAACAATTAAAGTCACTGAAGTGTTGGAGTAATTGTAATCAGTGCTAACCGTGCGGCTTGATTTGGATTTCTTTCTTGCACTATTTTTGATTGGATCCAGTCTTTCTATTTATTTATTTAATAAAGTATTAATAAAATGGTCAGCAAAAGTATTAGTACTTTGATTTGGGTTAATCTTTGAATTAGTTTTGTCTGCTGGAGAGGCAGTGCAGAAGTGAAATATTTCAAACCAGGTTTACCCATCTGGGTCAATGGACCATAAAGTAATATGAAACCCATTGTAGTCATTTTGGTTTTTTAAATCCTCACAAAAACACAACAGGAATATTTTGTCTCCCCGTCGTCAGCAAATTAGTCGAAAAACCACCAAAAATAATGGGATTTAATAGAAAATTAAACTGGTTGAGCTGATTTTTTGTTGTTGTATTTTATTTTGCACTCATGAGTTCTCTGGTGTTCTCGTGTTCACTTGTTTTGTTTGGTTGCTGAGAAAAAAATGAGCACGAGTGTGTTATTGGACAAAGTGTGAAGTTTATCAAACTAAAGTCAAAAGTAAAGCATTACCAGTAAGTACATCAGGAGTTTGGGATGGGCTAGACTGCAGATTTGGTGACACGACAAGGCAGACTTTAAAGTGAACTGATAGGATATTTTTTAGTTTTCTAAATATTTCAGATGAGTCAATTTCTGCCTTCAATAAAGCAGACCCTCTGTTAAACTACCACATCTCATGTCTGTTGTTGATGTGTGCTCATAAAGGCATGCAAGGGTGGATCGTAAGTGCATTTACTGAAGTACACTGATGAAGTACTTTACTTGAGTATTATCTTTTCATTCTACCTTAAACTTCAACTCCACTACAAATCAATGGGAATATATTGTGTACTGTAATACTTTCACTTATCTAGATACTAGGTAGTTTACAAAATAAGATGTTTACATAAAAAAAAAGAAGTGAATTTATTTAGGAACTAGCAAAGTCAATCAATCAACAAGCCATGTTCTATGAATGATCAATTACACATTCATCTAACTATAGTCAATCATCTGAACTCAGTAAAATGCCAATACAGGAGCTATGCGTGTAGTTTTTTCACAGTGTGGTATTAGTAAGTGTACTTAAATAAAAGATTGTTGTTGAAGATAAATTGTTCCACCACTAAATGCTTGCCATCCTTGGTTTCAAGCAAGACCTTTGCATAACATTTTGTTCTCAATTTCAGGATGTCATTCACAACAGCAGCCAGGTAAGCGTATATGAGCAACATAACAAGTTCTTCAAGATTCCTTCAGTGAGTTATGAAAAGGACTGGTTCTACATGTCCATGTCTAATCTGTTCTCTTTTCTCTGTCAGCATGTGGCCGGGCACCAAACAACCCCAGAATTGTGGGAGGTCAAAATGCGGCTGCAGGAACTTGGCCCTGGGTAGCCAGTATACAAGTGAATGGCAAGCACTATTATGGAGGGTCCCTGATCAGCGCTATGTGGGTTCTGACCGCTGCTCACTCTATCTCAGAGTAAGGAATCACCGTTGATCAAGTTTTCTTTTAGATATTTTACAGGGAATTGTTCATTTGTTGCTTCCTAGTTGAGAGCGGAATGAGATAATTTATATCAATCAGTACTCTGGATGCTTAAAGTCACAAAAATACATTTACCATGTTGATTCTTTGTCTTCAAGTCGCAACATGACGGTTGTTCTGGGCCTCGAAAGCATGTCTGGTCCAAACTTGAACAACGTGTCAAAGGCAATTGATAAGATCATATTCCATCCTATGTACAACTCCCTCAATTTGGACAACGACATGGCTCTTCTGAAGCTGTCGAGCCCGGTGAACTTTACAGACTACATCCAGCCGGTGTGCTTGGCCTCTGAAAACAGCACCTTCTACACCGGTGTCAACAGCTGGGTCGTTGGTTTTGGTTTTACATCAAGTGGTAAATTCACTGACTACAGACACAATGATGTCTTTTGTCTTTTTCAACACCAATTGTAATATTAACGTTTGAATCATCTCTGATTAGGTGCCAAGGCCGACACCCTGCAGGAAGTGAGGGTCCCAGTCGTGGGAAACAATGAGTGCACATGTGCCCACCACGATCTCACAGACAACATGATCTGTGCTGGGTACAGATCTGGAGGGAATGATTCATGTTGGGTAACCAACTTTTTTTGTATTTACTTTGTGACACTTTATTCAGAAATGTATTGTACAGGGGGATGAAAGAGAGAAGGAACATCTAAAAAGGTGGGTGGCTTTTATAACCAGTAGATACGTTTCAAAATAATCTTAATATGCATCCCTGAATTATGAACTGTAATATATAAATGGGCTGCAGGTCATGCACGTTTATAAGCTTGACTTTTTGCTTTTGCTCTAGTTATGTTAGAATGACTTTACTTACAAGGTGTGTTCCTGTTGCAAGAAATGTTGACTTAAGTTTAAGCAATATAACATCACTGAGGGAAACACTTCCAGACTTTGTGTTAAGCTAGGCTAAAAACATCAAAGACACAGCCAACAAATAAACACACAAAGTTGAAGCCAAATGAAGTTCTCGTAACTTTCATTCAGACATGGAAAAAACCAGCTTTCGACATAATGACTAAGATAAAGCTTCATACATTTATTTTAAGTCAGGTCAGACTGAAACAAACAAAGAGCCTTAGGGGAATCAAGCTTTAGCAGGGTGGATGCTTCTATCATATAACCTCAACCATCAATTTCTTTCTACAGGGAGACTCAGGTGGACCAATGATGATCAAAAAGGGTTCAGTCTGGGTCCAGAGTGGGGTTGTGAGTTTTGGAAACTGTGGCGCGCCGAAGTTTCCTGGAGTTTACGCCCGTGTGTCCAACTACGAAGACTGGATCAAAAATCACACTGGCTCTAGCAAACCAGGCTTTGTTGACTACATGTCCTCAGGAGTTGATAGCGACTTGGACTTTGTCTGTCCCACCGCCTATCCCACCACCCAACACCCCTATCCCACCACCCAACACCCCTATCCCACCACCCAACACCCCTATCCCACCACCCAACACCCCTATCCCACCACCCATCACCCCTATCCCACCACCCAACACCCCTATCCCACCACCCAACACCCCTATCCCACCACCCATCACCCCCATACCACCGATGACGACAGTGTGTTTTGCAGTGGTGAGAGAGTGATCTCCTCACTCGGTCTTCTCCTTATGTCTCTCTATGCGCTGGTCGGAGGCATATAAACATGAAGATGTTGAAGTAAGACAAGTTTAGGGTTTCTGTGTCCAAATGGCTCATTCACTTGATTTGATATGAGCCCAAATTGTTCGAAAATAGAACATATGATTTAAGATATATAACTGAAATGTTTTAATTAGCGATAACCCTTCTTGTGATTTAAAATAATATAATAATTTAAATGTGATCATTTGTTCCTTTAATCAAAGTGTTAAACTTATCTTGATTCCATTTCTGGTGGAAAGTCATCATTTTGCAGATGACTGGATTAAGTTTTCAACGATTTTGCATTGTCTTGTAAAGATTGTTTTTCCAGACATGACGGGATAAAAAACAAAAATAAAGAATTATCTTTTGTGTTTATACATTTTTTCATTTTTGGGTCAGCAGGCCTATGAATAAGGTGACTAGTTTGGGTTGATGAGAGCCTTGAGAATGAACCAAAACAGTAAAGTTTGGGATACCAAAACAGTGCGCTGAAAGACACTAAAACGACACTAAAACTCTAGTGCTAACTCTTATAGGTTCATTCCTGTATTGTATTATGTGTGTGTTTATTGTAGTTTTGGTCTAGTTATGTTCAAATGACCTTAATGTAGTTTTCAAAGTTTTCAAAGTTGCAATAATTGTTGACTTAACTTAAAGTAACATAACGTAATTTACAAACGTTGTGTTAAACTGGGCTGAACACATAGATACATCCACCAGATTAACCTAACCCTACCTAATCTAAAGTTTAAAGGTGGGGTAGGTAATTTTTGAGAAACCAGCTCGAGTGAGCTAGAATTTGAAAATACACAGCCGGAAAAAATCTGCCACTTCCTCACAGAGCCCCTCCTCCAACACACACGAACGCGCACATGACCAATGAGGGCACGAGTTAAGTTTGTGCCCAGATGGAAGGCTGACAGGCAGGTAGGCCATCCAGTTACTTTAGCCGAGCCGGCTCAGATGATTGGTCGTGCTTTTTACAGCGCTACGGCTTCCACTGATGATAGTTTTTAATGGATTTGTTGTCAAAGCACTTCAGATATTCATTGCTATCGGGATGTTAAGAGCATTCCATGGAATATAACAACAAGTGTATCTCGAGCCGGTTTCTCAAACTTACCTACCCCTCCTTTAAGTAACATAACTGCCAGACTTTGTGCTAAGCTAGGCTGAACACATACATCCAACAAATTAACGTAACCCTGACCGAACATCACCTTAAGGTTAAGTCACATAATGTAACTTCAAGACTTTGTGCTAAGCTAGGCTAAACACATAGATACATCCACCAGATTAACCTAACCCGACCTCATCTAAAGATTAAGTAACATAACTTCCAAACTTTGTGCTAAACTAGGCTGAACACATACATCCACCAAATGGGTACATAGATGTCATTAGACCAATTAAAAAAAACAAAAAAAAAACTACTGTGGCTCAAAACTAATATCTACCAAGAGCTCCGGAATAAGATAAGATGGACCTTTATTGATCAACCAAAGGGATATTATAACATTATAAAAAAACATAAAGTCCTTTGTACAAGATGAACTCCACTCATAAGTCGACTGTTCAAACCTGAAAAACTGGAAGCTGTTATTTTTCTGCTCTGTCATTCTCCATAGCGCTCATCAGATAGGATTACTCATGGTAGCACACCCACATATATTTATGTTATCCTGGCAAGGAAGTAAAACTCTCCCCTGGCCTGCAGTATCAATGGTGTGAAAAATAGCATGCACTGAGTCTAAGTGTGTGTGAGCACTCATTCGGTGTGTGTTATGTGTGAATCTGGCCTTTGTGTACATCACAGTGCCTTTAAATGCCTTTCAAGGTTCACAAACTTCCGATGATGAAATGAAAACCTAACTGGGCCAAATGTACGTTATTCTTTCATTCCCTTTTTTACTCTAAACGTTAATTTTCAAATATTCACACAGGAATGCGACTCCTATCCCCAGCAGACCGCCGTGCATCGTTTGTGAAAAACCTGCAATATGTTCTGCGTCGCTAATCGGAAAACTAACTAGCAAGCAGCCCGGAGCAACAGTCTCATTGTTATTCCGTGGATGGGATTACTTTATTCTCAGTGGTGTAAATTGTAAATCGAGGAGAGCTTTCTATTGGTTTAGAATAGAATCACCAATTTTGCACTTGATGCAGAAGATTCTCACTGAATTGAAACTCCTAACAGGCACAAAAAAAGGAATTTGTCGATTAACCACAGTCATTAAACGCATGGACGTAGTGCTGAGAAGAGGTCTCATCAGCCATTACAAAGGAAAACACCTATAGGCAGCTTGACAAACATTACGCAACACTTTTTATCTAATAAACTTGGGTTATTGAACAGTGACGTCCAATAGAGCAAAAGACAGAAGAAAACAAAAGTCACTTTTCTTTTTTTAATGTAATGTATGACTGAACTTTGTTATGGTGAGAATTATAGTTGTTTTCATGTTAGACTAAAAGGAATCGTTAAAGTTAAAACAAAAAAGAAATGAATGTAAACTATTTCATTTATATCTGAATGCACTTTTATTTGAGATACCTCTGCAACACTGGGAGCTTCATGCATGCAGATGAGATACCTCATTCATCATGCATGCTGAAAACACAAAGGCATCAAGAAAAACAAGTTTGACTTGGGGATTTTTTTCACATGTTCCCGTTAATAGCTTCTTAAAATATGTGTTGACTTGTGTGTGATCGGTTGTCACGTTTAGAAATTAAAAAATGCAGATGAAAGCTACGGTATAAAGTTGTGGGCGAAGCTAGGTATGAAGTATTAAATAGTGATCACAGAGGGAAGAAGGCACAGTGAAAATGGCTCTCTACCAATTTCTGTGTGGTTCAGCGGTGATGATCATCCTCTTATCCAATGGTGAGAACGTTCATGTGATTTTTCTTTAAGCAATTACAAATGTTTTGTTGTTAAATGATATTATGCTAATGTATTGAGTTGATGTTGGTATCTCAAGGGACCAAAATAGTAGAGATTGTGTAGCTGATCTCTAAATCTTCCTTCAAATTAAAGAGTAAATATTTCATCTACTAATAACTGGGAAATTACTGATTTTATTATGTGATCAAAAGGAGTTCAAGTGCATGTGAAGGACAATCAATTAAAGTCACTGAAGTGTTGGAGTAATTGTAATCAGTGCTAACCGTGCGGCCTTGATTTGGATTTCTTTCTTGCACTATTTTTGATTGGATCCAGTCTTTCTATTTATTTATTTAATAAAGTATTAATAAAATGGTCAGCAAAAGTATTAGTACTTTGATTTGGGTTAATCTTTGAATTAGTTTTGTCTGCTGGAAAGGCAGTGCAGAAGTGAAATATTTCAAACCAGGTTTACCCATCTGGGTCAATGGACCATAAAGTAATATGAAACCCATTGTAGTCATTTTGGTTTTTTAAATCCTCACAAAAACACAACAGGAATATTTTGTCTCCCCGTCGTCAGCAAATTAGTCGAAAAAACCACCAAAAATAATGGGATTTAATAGAAAATTAAACTGGTTGAGCTGATTTTTTGTTGTTGTATTTTATTTTGCACTCATGAGTTCTCTGGTGTTCTCGTGTTCACTTGTTTTGTTTGGTTGCTGAGAAAAAAATGAGCACGAGTGTGTTATTGGACAAAGTGTGAAGTTTATCAAACTAAAGTCAAAAGTAAAGCATTACCAGTAAGTACATCAGGAGTTTGGGATGGGCTAGACTGCAGATTTGGTGACACGACAAGGCAGACTTTAAAGTGAACTGATAAGATATTTTTTAGTTTTCAAAATATTTCAGAAGAGTCAATTTCTGCCTTCAATAAAGCAAGCCCTCTGTTAAACTACCACATCTCATGTCTGTTGTTGATGTGCTCATAAAGGCATGCAAGGGTGGATCGTAAGTGCATTTACTGAAGTACACTGATGAAGTACTTTACTTGAGTATTATCTTTTCATTCCACCTTAAACTTCAACTCCACTACAAATCAATGGGAATATATTGTGTACTGTAATACTTTCTCTTATCTAGATATTAGGTAGTTTACAAAATAAGATTTTTACATTAAAAAAAAGAAGTGAATTTATTTAGGAACTAGCAAAGTCAATCAATCAACAAGCCATGTTCTATGAATTATCAATTACACATTCATCTAACTATAGTCAATCATCTGACCTCAGTAAAATGCCAATACAGGAGCTATGCGTGTAGTTTTTTCACAGTGTGGTATTAGTAAGTGTACTTAAATAAAAGATTGTTGTTGAAGATAAATTGTTCCACCACTAAATGCTTGCCATCCTTGGTTTCAAGCAAGACGTTTGCATAACATTTTGTTCTCAATTTCAGGATGTCATTCACAAAAGCAGCCAGGTAAGCGTATATGAGCAACATAACAAGTTCTTCAAGATTCCTTCAGTGAGTTATGAAAAGGACTGGTTCTACATGTCCATGTCTAATCTGTTCTCTTTTCTCTGTCAGCATGTGGCCGGGCACCAAACAACCCCAGAATGTGGGGAGGTCAAAATGCGACTGCAGGAACTTGGCCCTGGATAGCCAGTTTACAAATTGATGAGGATCACAGTTGTGGAGGGTCCCTGATCAGCAATATGTGGGTTCTGACTGCTGCTCACTGCATCCCAGGGTAAGGAATCAAGTTTTCTCTTAGAAATATTACAGGAATTGTTTCTATTTTGTTGGCAAATTTAAATAATAAACCTAAATGTACTATTTTGTCTTAAGGTATCTCACAAACATGACTGTTGTTCTGGGCCGCGAAAGCATGAAAGGTAAAAACTTGAACGAAGTGTCAAGGGCAGTTGATAAGATCATAACCCATCCTGCTTACGATGCATTGAGCGACGACAACGACATGGCTCTTCTGAAGCTGTCGAGTCCCGTAAACTTTACCGACTACATCCAGCCGGTGTGCTTGGCCTCTGCAAACAGCACCTTCTACACCGGTGACAACAACTGGGTCGTTGGTTTTGGTGCTACATCTTTTGGTAAGCTCACTGACTCCACACTTGATCACACATTGATGGGTGCATATGTCTGTTGTCTTTTTAAAACATCAATTTCTCTCTGATTAGGTGGCCCCAATGCCGACACCCTGCAGGAAGTGAGGGTCCCAATCGTGGGAAACAATGAGTGCACATGTGCCTACCCATATCTCACAGACAACATGATCTGTGCTGGGTTAAGAGCTGGAGGGATTGATTCATGTCAGGTAACCAACTTTTTGTGTATTTACTTTGTGACACTTTCTTCAGAAATTGATTTTACAGGGAGCAGGAAAATGTGCAAAAAGACGCAGTGGGAATATTGAATTGAATTCAGTAGTAGGGTGGCTGATTGGTTTCAAAATAATCTCAATACACATCCCAGAAATCTATAAGATTATATAAATGAGCTATCGGTCATGCTAATTACAAGCTTCTCTTTGACTACCCAAAATTAAAATTTGTATTATGTGTGTGTTACCTTAATGTAGTTTTCAAAGTTTGTCCCAGTTGCAAGAATTGTTGACTTACCCTAAAGTTTTAAGTAACATAACATAACATCCAGTCTTTGTGCTAAACTAGGCTGAACACATAGATACATCCACCAAATAAACACAGAGTTGAAGCCAAATGAAGTTCTCATGACTTTGATTAAGACAGAAGGAAATAAGCAAGCCTTCCACTGCATTGATTAAAAGTATGTCCAGTAAATGTATTTTAAAGGAAGTCAGGCTGTATCAAACAACAAGCTTATCAAATCTCAAATTCTTGGTAAAATCATTGAAACGGTTGTTTTCCAACAGCCGAGTCATTTCTTGAATCTAAATAACTGTTTTGATGTGTTCCAGTCAGGCTTTCAACCAACCACAGCACTGAGACTGCTCTTGTAAAGGTCTTCAATGACATCCACTTAAACACAGACAGTGGCAGAACTTCAGTGTTAGTATTATTAGATCTCAGTGCTGCGTTTGACACTGTTGACCACAACATATTACTTGACCTACTATAAAACTGGGTGGGACTTTCGGCAACAGTTCTACACTGGTTTGAATCCTACTTAAGGGACAGAAACAATTGTGTTTCTATAGGTAAATTCACATCTGAATAGACACATATGACATGTGGGGTTCCTCAAGGCTCCATCCTGGGGCCTCTTCTCTTTAAGTTACCATAGCTATGCAGATGACACACACATGTACATTTACATTTCACCAGGAGACTATGCTCCATTCAAATTGAGGTAATTGTTTTTGGAGCCAAGGAGGAATGAATAAAAGTCAGCGCTGAGCTTCAGTCTGCAATGTTCAAAACAACAGATAAAGCCAGAAATCTAGGTGTAGTCATGGACTCGGACCAAAGTTTCAACAGTCACATTAAAAACAATTACTAAATCAGCCTACTATCACCTAAAGAATATATCGAGGATTAAAAGAATTATGTCACAGCAGGATTTGGAAAAACTTGTCCATGCTTTTATCTTCAGTAGACTGGACTAAAAATGGAGACGTTCAGTTATTATGCTCCAAATATCTGGAACAAACTATCAGAAACCTGCAGGTCCGCTGCAACTCTGATTACTTTTAAATCCAGGCTGAAGACTTTCCTTTTTGCCGCTGCTTTTTATTGATATATTCCGCTGCACTGTAACTTTTATTCATGTACCTTTGTTATTCTTGTTTTATTATCTTTGCTTTTAAATTAGTGTTTTTAAATGCCAATGTATAATAAGTTTCTTAATGCTCTTAATTTCTTTCATTTTTGTAAAGCACGTTGAATTGTATTGTGTTGAAATGTGCTATATAAATAAACTTGCCTTGCCATGCTTTAGCAGGGTGGATGGTTCTATCATATAACCTCAACCATCAATTTCTTTCTATAGCGAGACTCAGGTGGACCAATGATGATCAAAACTGGTTCAGTCTGGGTCCAGAGTGGTGTTGTGAGTTTTGGAGAACGCTGTGCCTTGCCAGATTTTCCTGGAGTTTACGCCGTTGTGTCCAACTACGAAGACTGGATCAAAAATCACACTGGCTCTAGCCAACCAGGCTTTGTTGACTCCATGTCCTCAGGAGTTGACACCGACTTAACCTTTGACTGTTCTGAAATAACTACAAACACCGAACCCCCCAAACCTTATCCCACCACTCAACACCCCTATCCCACCACCCATCACCCCCATACCACCGATGACGGCAGTGTGTTTGGCAGTGGTGAGAGAGTGATCTCCTCACTCGGTCTTCTCCTTATGTCTCTCTATGCGCTTGTCGGAGGCATATAAACATGGAGATGTTGAAGTAAGATAAGTTTAGGGTTTCTGTGTCCAAATGGCTCATTCACTTGATTTGATATGAGCCCTAATTGTTCGAAAATAGAACATATGATTTAAGATATATAACTGAAATGTTTTAATTAGCGATAACCCTTCTTGTGATTTAAAATAATATAACAATTTAAATGTGATCATTTGTTCTTTTAATCAAAGAGTTAAACTTATCTTTATTCCATTTCTGGTGGAAAGTCATCATTTTGCAGATGACTGGATTAAGTTTTCAACGATTTTGCATTGTCTTGTAAAGATTGTTTTTCCAGACATAACGGGATAAAAACTAAAATAAAGAATTATCTTTTGTGTGATACAATGGTTTCCTTTTTGGTCAGCAGGCCTATGAATAAGGTGACTAGTTGGGTTGATGAGAGCCTTGAGAATGAACCAAAATAGTAAAGTTTGGGATACCAACACAGTGCGCTGAAAGACATTAAAACTCTAGTGCTAACTCTTATAGGTTCATTCCTGTATTGTATTATGTGTGTGTTTATTGTAGTTTTGGTCTAGTTATGTTCAAATGACCTTAATGTAGTTTTCAAAGTTTTCAAAGTTGCAATAATTGTTGACTTAACTTAAAGTAACATAACGTAATTTACAAACGTTGTGTTAAACTAGGCTGAACACATAGATACATCCACCAGATTAACCTAACCCTACCTAATCTAAAGTTTAAAGGTGGGGTAGGTAATTTTGGAGAAACCAGCTCGAGTGAGCTAGAATTTGAAAATACACAGCCGGAAAAAAATCTGCCACTTCCTTACAGAGCCCCTCCTCCAACACACACGAATGCGCACATGACCAATGAGGGCACGAGATAAGTTTGTGCCCAGATGGAAGGCTGACAGGCAGGTAGGCCATCCAGTTACTTTAGCCGGGCCGGCTCAGATGATTGGTCGTGCTTTCCACAGATGACATTTTCTTATGGATTTTTTGTCAAAGCACTTCAGATATTCATTGCTATCGGATGTTAAGAGCATTCCATGGAATATAACAAAAAGTGTTTCCCGAGCCGGTTTCTCAAACTTACCTACCCCACCTTTAAGTAACATAACTGCCAGACTTTGTGCTAAACTAGGCTGAACACATACATCCAACAAATTAACGTAACCCTGACCGAACTTCACCTTAAGGTTAAGTAACATAATGTAACTTCAAGACTTTGTGCTAAGCTAGGCTAAACACATAGATACATCCACCAAATGGGTACATAGAGATGTCATTAGACCAATTTAAAAAAACAAAAAACTACTGTGGCTCAAAACTAATATCTGCCAAGAGCTCCGGAATAAGATAAGATGGACCTTTATTGATCAACCAAAGGGATATTATAACATTATAAAAAAACATAAAGTCCTTTGTACAAGATGAACTCCACTCATAAGTCGACTGTTCAAACCTGAAAAACTGGAAGCTGTTATTTTTCGGCTCTGTCATTCTCCATAGCGCTCATCAGATAGGATTACTCATGTAGCACACCCACATATATTTATGTTATCCTGGCAATGAAGTTAAACTCTCCTCTGGCCTGCAGTATCAATGGTGTGAAAAATAGCATGCACTGATTCTAAGGGTGTGTGAGCACTCATTAGGTGTGTGTTTATGTGCGTGTGCTAGGGCTGTCCCGAATACCATTTGTCGGGCTCCGGATATTCGGTAGTAATCAGCAGCGAATATTCGGCCCGCGCGGGGGGCACGTGTATTTCGGTGTATTCACTACATTCATTTTGTTATTCTACAGTATTGTTGTTTTATAGTTATTTGTTAATGTAACCCAATTCTATTCTTTGAAATTGAAAAGGATATTGCATTGTGTTTGTTACTTTTGTTGCAGTTGTATATGTCTTAAGTGTAATTTGGCTTGGCTTCCTATTTATGGACATGCTTTTATTTTGAAGAGTTAGCGCTGTTGACAGGAAGTTGTTGTTGCTATGGAAACAACGTGACGGAGATTAACGGAGAAAAGTCATATCTACATATAAAGATGGAGAAAGTAAACAATAACGTTTATGGTTAAGTGTTAGCACCAAGCGGCAAACTGTGGGGTAGAGCCGGGAAGCCAATACGGAAGTGCCACACACTGCAGTTCATATATTGGCCGATAGGCGATGGCTGCAGAAAGGAGCAATTTCCATAGACCCCCCATGTTAAAATGCTCAACTTTACAGCAGAAAAAAACATGTTTCTACCCCTGGCTCCATACATTTTTATTATCGATATAGTTAGATTCCACCTTCATGATTATGGATCTGTGAGTGAATTGTTTTCTAACGCGACCCTTTTATTTATATTAGGTCTTAAAGTTTGTGCATAAATGTGGTCACATTGAGTGACGGTGTCAGTACCAGATATGTTCGGGCTACCAGATATGTTCGGGTGTATTTCCGTCGCATCCGTCATCCGTCATATACTCACCTCCCTCTGCTCCCAGCGCTCTGCTGCCACACACCGGCCGTCTGCGGAACTGCAGCCGGAGGAACTCGGGACAGCTTGTTATGTGTGGGGTGCTATGGTGGGGTCCCATGTACTTGTGCACATAAATAATGTTTCTAATTATTTACAATTAAAAATATATATATATTCTGCGTTACTTTAGCCAACACTTTTATAAGGCCACTAGATTAGATAATTATGAAATGTGTAGATAGAATACATATATTTCAGGTTGTTATTTTGTCATTATGTTTAATGTTTTATTTACCTTTTAGTATCTGAACTTTGCAGGAGGAGTTGGGGAGACACACGACACATCAAATCACATATACAGATCAAGGCGAAGCGAATGGAAGTACTCCCATACTCATAGCGTGGAAATGTTTGTGAAAACGTGTGCAAAGTCTCCGAAAATCCTAAAAATAAGCTCATATTTGAATTCCCCATAAAAAAACACATCATTCAGTAAAAACAAGGCCCCACTGATCATCTACTCTCCGAGACGATTCTAGGGATGTCTGGCTTGAGTTTCGACCACCAAGGAAAGTGGACAAAAGTGCCCGAGATCAGCCTCTTAAATTTACCCAGGGCCTAGTGCTTGGCTTTGGGCATGAAAATTCAGGAAACTCCCCTGAGTATTTTATTAAATATCTGAACTTTGGAGAGGAGTTGGGGGACACACGACACATCAAATCACATCTACAGATCCAGACGAAGCTAGTGGAAGTACTCCTAGCGTGTGAAAAATGTTTGTGAAAAACGTGTGCAAAGTCTCCGAAACGGAGCAGTGGCTGTGATGCTAGCTTTGCGGCTAGCGGTTAGTTGTTATTGTTTGAAGTTGTTGCTATGGAAACAACATGACGGAGACAAAATTAATATCTTCTACATATAATAACGGACAAAGTAAAGAATGAAGTGTAGGCTATGCCTGTTTGAAGTTGTTGCTAAGGAAACAACATGACGGAGAAAAAGTATAATGTTCTATATATAATAACGGACAAAGTAAAGAATGAAGTGTCGGCTATGTTTAAATGTTCGGAATTTGACCGTGAGGGCCCTCTTGAGTTGCCGTAAAATATGACGAATATGACGGATCACGGATGCGACGGAAATACACCCGAACATATCTTGTAGCCCGAACATATCTGGTACTGACAACGGCTCTGTCAAGTGCCTGCCGCTGTTAGCTTCTTGTCTCTCTGCTAGCTGCTCCGTGAAGCTAGCTACAGGGACTCTGCCTGCTCAGCTCATCCAGGAAACACAACTTGTAGCAGGCCGTGGTTGTTTGTTCTTCATGCTTATATATCGGACTATTGTGACTCGCTCTGCGGTTAAAACAGACGGTGCATGAATGCGGTTTTGCGGTAAGTGAAATTGTAGTGCTTTATTTATGTGTTAATGATTTTAATCAGCTACATAATGAATGGTAAGGCTTGGGTTAGCATGTAAGCTAGTGGTAGCTACATCGGTGCTAATAATCGTAGTAATCGTAGCCTCCAAGTTAAAATCATAGACTGTATATATAAAGGTTAAAGCGAAATAGACAAGTGTTAAGTGGGATAATACTGTTGAACAAACGGCTTCTGTTTGAGGTTGATAAAATAAGGTTACATCCTTGTAACTTAGAGATATTTTATTATGTAGGTAGAACTGTATGCATCTAAGGTTAATTTAAATTGGCTATGCTCAAGTATGTAGACAAGCTAATGTCGAAGTAGTGTATGTGAAATCAACCTCACAATAAGATGTGTGTATATTACAATTATTAATGTCATATTTCAAGATGATTACTTAGATATTACAATATGGTTGGTTGAGCTGGAGTTCATTAGAAGAACGAACCCAAACCTTGTTGTTTTTATTAATTGCATTACCAAATGGGTATCAAATAAACAGTAAGCATTGGTAACACAACTTCCAAAGTTACAGTAAAATAAAAAGCCCCCTGACTCGGACAATACACAATCCAACATGTTCAACAGAAGAGAATCAGTTATATTGTTTGTACACATGGTACTTTACATATATATATATATATGTTTGTTTAAGGCAGGGGTTGGCAACCCGCGGCCCACGGGCCGCATGCGGCCCTTTAAGCCCTCTGCTCGCTCCCTTGAGCTTACACAAAAATAAGAAGGAAATAAAATAAAAGTATTTGTAGGACTATTTATATTTTGTTGCATGGTTGAAAATGTTTCGTATCTTGTATTTTGAGGTGATACTGTGACACATAAATAAAAAACAAAACGGTTTTAATTAGGTCAACTAAAATATGCGTCACATCCCGCTACGGTCCCGCGTGAGCGCCTTTTCTTGGAGGCGAATAACCTGACCCCCGGCTCGATGAGCGAACTATGGATAAATCAAATCAAATAAAAGTACCGGAGGAACACAGGATTTAATTCTGTGTGGACAGTTATCTGCTTTCACAGCAAACGATGCTGGTTTACCGGTATGTTTGATATGTAGAGAGAAGTTGTCAACGATGGTGCAGCCTTTACGTATCGACGAACAACAAGGGA